TCAGTCCCTTTCTTTTTCTCTTCTTCTTCTGGAACCCCTACAATTCGAATGTTGGTGCGTTTAATGTTGTCCAGAGGTCTGTGAGACTGTCCTCAGTTCTTTTCATTCTTTTTTCTTTATTCTGCTCTGCAGTAGTTATTTCCACTATTTTATCTTCCAGGTCACTTATCCGTCCTTCTGCCTCAGTTATTCTGCTATTGATCCCATCTAGAGTATTTTTAATGTCATTTATTTTGTTGTTCATCATTGTTTGTTTCATCTTTAGTTCTTCTAGTTCCTTGTTAAATATTTCTTGCATTTTGTCTATTCTATTTCCAAGATTCTGGATCGTCTTTACTATTATTTTTCTGAATTCTCTTCCAGGTAGACTGCCTATTTCCTCTTAATTGTTAGGTCTGGTGGGTTTTTATCTTGCTCATTCATCTGCTGTGTGTTTTTCTGCCTCTCATTTTGCTTATCTTACTGTGTTTGGGGTCTCCTTTTTGTAGGCTGCAGTTTCATAGTTCCCATTGTTTTTGGTGTCTGTCCCCAGTGGCTAAGGTGGTTCAGTGGGTTGTGTAGGCTTCCTGGTGGAGGGTACTAGTGCCTGTGTTCTGGTGGATGAGGCTGGATCTTGTCTTTCTGGTGGGTAGGTCCACATGTGGTAGTGTGTTTTGGGGTGTCTGTGGACTTATTATGATTTTAGGCAGCCTCTCTGCTAATGGGTGGGGTTGTGTTCCTGTCTTGCTAGTTGTTTGGCATAGGGTGTCCAGCACTGTAGCTTGCTGGTCGTTGAGTGAAGCTGGGTGCTGGTGTTAAGATGGAGGTCTCTGGGAGATTTTCGCCGTTTGATATTATGTGCAGCTGGGAGGTCTCCTGTGGACCAGTGTCCTGAAGTTGGCTCTCCCACCTCAGAGGCACAGCACTGACTCCTGGCTGCAGCACCAAGAGCGTTTCATCTGCACAGCTCAGAATAAATTGGAGAAAAATTAGAAAGAAAGAATTAGTAGAAGTAGAAATAAAGAAAGAAAGAAAAGGGAGGGAGGGAGGGAGGAAGAAGTGACGGAAAAAAGAAAGAAGATAAAGTAAAATAAAATAAAGTATGTTAAAATATAATAAAGTTATTAAAATAAAAAAATTATTAAGAAAAAAGATTATAAAAAAAACAATGGTCTGATAGAACCGTAGGACAAATGGTGGAAGCAAAGCTATATAGTCAAAATCTCACACAGAAGCATACACATACACACTCACAAAAAGAGGAAAAGGGGAAAAAATAATAAATCTTGCTCTCAAAGTCCACCTCCTCAGTTTGGGATGATTCGTTATCTATTCATGTATTCCACAGATGCAGGATACATCAAGTTGATTGTGGAGCTTTAATCCGCTGCTTTTGAGGCTGCTGGGAGAGATTTCCGTTTCTCTTCTTTGTTCTCACAGCTCCCAGGCGCTCAGCTTTGGATTTGGCCCCGCCTCTGCGTGTAGGTCGCTGGAGGGCGTCTGTTCTTTGCTCAGACAGGACGGGGTTAAAGGAGACGCTGCTTCCGGGACTCTGGCTTACTCAGGCCGGAGGGAGGGAGGGGCACGGAATGGAGTGCGAGCCTGTGGCTGCAGAGGCCGGCGTGACGTTGCACCAGGTGCGCTGTGCGTTCTCCCGGGGAAGTTGTCCCTGGATCCCGGGACCCTGGCAGTGGTGGGCTGCACAGGCTCCCCGGAAGGGGTGAGTGGATAGTGACCTGTGCTCGCACACAGGCTTTTAGGTGGCGGCAGCAGCAGCCTTAGCATCTCCTGCCCGTCTCTGGGGTCCGTGCTTTTAGCCACGGCTCGCGCCCGTCTCTGGAGCTCCTTTAAGCAGCGCTCTTAATCCCCTCTCCTCACGCACCAGGAAACAAAGAGGGAAGAAAAAATCTCTTGCCTCTTCGGCAGGTCCAGACTTTTCCCCAGACTCCCTCCCGGCCAGCCGTGGTGCACTAACCCCCTTCAGGCTGTGTTCCCACGGCCAACCCCAGCCCTCTCCCTGCGCTCCGACCGAAGCCCAAGCCTCAGCTCCCAGCCCCACCTGCTCCGGAAGGTGAGCAGACAAGCCTCTCGGGCTGGTGAGTGCCGGTCGGCCCTGATCCTCTGTGCGGGAATCTCTCCGCTTTGCCCTTCACACCCCTGTTGCTGTGCTCTCCCCCGCGGCCCCGATGCTTTCCCCCTCCGCCACCCGCAGTCTCCGCCCGCGAAGGGGCTTCCTAGTGTATGGAAACCTTTACTCCTTCACAGCTCCCTCCCTCTGGTGCAGGTCCTATCCCTATTCTTTTGTCTCTGTTTATTCTTTTTTCTTTTGCCCTACCCAGGTACGTGGAGGGTTTCTTGCCTTTTGGGAGGTCTGAGGTCTTCTGCCAGCGTTCAGTAGGTGTTCTGTAGGAGTTGTTCCACGTGTAGATGTATTTCTGGTGTATCTGTGGGGAGGAAGGTGATCTCCACGTCTGACTCTTCCGCCATCTTCCCGGAAACCTCTGAGCTTTGTTTTTATTTATTTATTCATTTTTGGCTGTGTCAGGTTTTCGTTGCTGCGCACGGGCTTTCTCTAGTTGCGGTGAGCAGGCGCTACTCTTCATTGTGGTGTGTGGACTTCTCATTTCGGTGGCTTCTCTTGTTGTGGAGCACAGGCTCTAGGCACAGGGGCTTCAGTAGTTATGGCATATGGGTTCAGTAGTTGTCACATGCAGGCTCTAGAGCGCAGGCTCAGCAGTTATGGCACACGGGCTTTGTTGCTTCGTGGCATGTGCAAGCTTCCTGGACCAGGGCTCGAACCCGTGTCCCCTGCATTGGCAGACGGATTCTTAACCACTGCGCCACCAGGGAAGCCCCCACCAAAACTTTTAATTTTGATGTGTTTTTGGTGTCATGTATAAGAAATCAGCACTAAATCCCAGGTCATGAAGGTGTTTCCTTAGTTTTCTTCTAAGAGTTAGGATTTTAGTTCTCATGTTTAGGTTTTTGATCCATTTCGTGTTAATTTTTGAATGTGGTGTAATGTAAGAGTCCAAATTCTTTTTTTTTTTTGCTTGTGGATATCTAGTTTCCCCAGCACCATTTGTTGAAGATACTTTAGTTTCCCCATTGAATGGCCTTGGCACTCTTTTCAAAAACCAGTTTACTACAGGTGTATGGGCTTATTTCTGGACTCTCAATTCTATTTCATTGATCTGTATGTCTACCATTATGTTAGTACCACAATGTTTTGATTACTGTAGTTTTTGTAGTAAGTTTTGAAATCAGGAAGTGTAAGTCTTACAACTTTGCTTTTCTTCTTCAAGGTTGTTTTGGCTATTCTGGGTCCCTTGTAATTCCATATAAATTTTAGGATCAGCTTTCTATTTCTGCAAAAAAGACTACTGGGATTTTGCTAGGGATCATACTGAATCTGTAGATTGCTTTGGGTGTTATTGCCATCTCTCTCTCTTTTTTTTAACGTGCCTATGAAAAAGGAAGTTTTTAAAACTTTTATTATGGTAAATCTTAAATATATACAAAAGTAGTGGTAGTTATCAATTTATCATCCAGTGTATTGGTCAGGGTTCTCCAGAGAAACAGAACCAAATATATATATATATATTTTATATATATAATATATAATTGTATCTATATCTATAATATATCTATATCTATAGAGAGAGGAAAGAGACAGAGAGATTTATTTTAAGGAATTGGTTCCCATAATTGTGGAGGCTGAGAAGTCCCATGATCTGCCACCTGCAGTCTACAGACCCAGGAAAGCTGGTGCGGTAGGTCCACTCCTGAAAGCAGAGAGCTGATGGTACAAGTTGTAGTTTGAGGCAGAAGACCAACGTTCCAGCTCAGTGGTGAGGCAGAGCCAATTCTCCTTCCCTCTGCTTTTTGCCCTCTTCAGCCCTCAATGGATTGTATGATGCCCACACGCACTGTGGAGGAGGATCTGCTTTACTTAGATTTTTACAGATTCAAGTGCTAATCTCATCTGGAAATACCCTCACAAACACACCCCAAAATCATGTTTACCCAAGTATCTGTATATCCTATGACCCAGTCAAGTTGACATGTGAAATTAACCATCACATTTAACACTTTTCAACATGCCCGATCTTGTTAGATCTAGAGGTCTGATCAGATTCATGTTCTGTTTTTTTATTGCCATCTTAACAATATTAAATGCTCCAGTTCATGAACATGAGGTATACTTCCATTTATTTAGATCTTCTTTGATCACTTTCAACAATGTTTTGTAGTTTGCAAGGTACAAGTCTTGAACCTCCTTAATTAAATTTATTCCTAAGTATCTCATTCTTTTCAATGCTATTGTAAGTGGAATTGTTTTCCTAACTTAATTTTTTGATTGTTCATTGCATGTTTTATGTGTTGATTTTGTATCCTGCAAGTGTGCTAAATTAATTTATTAGCTCTAATAGTTTTTTTGTGGATTCTTCAGAATTTTCTGTATATATAAGATCATGTCATTTGTGAATATAGTTTTACTTCTTCCTTTGCAATCTGGATGCTCTTTGTCTGTTTTTCTTGACTAATTGCTCTGGCTAGAATTTCTAGTACAATGTTGAATGGAATTTGTAAAATAAGACACCCTTGTCTTTTTCCTGATCTTAGGAGACAAGCTTTCAGTTTTTATCATTGAATATAATGTTACCCGTGGGCTTTATTTTAAAACCATTTTTTTTAAACTCTGATTTTGAAATAACTGAGTTAAACTGCACAGCTTAGAAACCTAACACATCATCTGAAAGTCCACCAATCCCCAGAGATGATTACTTATTCATATTTTGAAAATTGATCTGTAAATATCCTTAACATTTTTTCCAAAAATATGATCTAGTAGATACTGTCTATATTACTAAAACAGGCAGCAGATATCTTATCTGTAGCATCTCAGGGAATGGGAGTTATCTGTTATCATTAATCTTGAAATGAAACATTTTGAAATGTACCATCTTTGGGAATATGGCTGGTATTTTTTAATGTGTGTTCTTTGTTTTAAATTACAGATTGGGTTTGTCCTTTATCCCCCCAGTGGAGGTCCTGCATGGGATTCAGTGGATCATGACAACGTTATGTTTCTCACCATATGCTTTTGTTGGCATTATGCAATAGCCATTATCATCATTGGAGCAATTTATGCCTTTGTCACCTGGTAAGTTAGTGATTTTTGTTCATGGAAGTTCTATTTTTTGGTATATGATCATCAAGAATTGATATTACCAAAATTTAAGTTCAAAGAGGTATTTCATTCCTTAGCATTCCACAAAACAGGGCAATATAGCAGAAAATTATCTGCAAACACAAACATTTCCAATAAAAAGAATAAATGCTGGTTTTAGGGGCAGGACAGGAATAAAGACGCAGACATAGAGAATGGACTTGAGGACATGGGGAGGGGGAAGGGTAAGCTGGGGCAAAGTGAGGGAGTAACAATTGACATATACACACTACCAAATGTAAAGCAGATAGCTAGTGGGAAGCGGCTGCATGGCACAGGGAGATCAGCTCAGTGCTTTGTGATCACCTAGAGGGGTGGGGTAGGGAGGGTGGGAGGAAGATGCAAGAGGGAGGGGATATGGGGATATCTGTATACGTATAGCTGATTCACTTTGTTATACAGCAGAAACTAATACAACATTGTAAAGCAATTATACTCAAATAAAGATGTTTAAAAAAGAAAATAAAAAATAGAATCAATGAGAAAACTAAAAAAAAAAAAGAATAAATGCTGGTTTAAAGTTGGAATAGCTAAAAAGTGTCTCTGCTGTGCTCCTAACCTATGCATTACCCTTCAGCACACTCTTCTGTGCCTCCATGTCTTTGCATATGCTGTTTTCTTATCCAAATGGTCCTCCCCACACCTGCAGTGAGCCCTCCATTTGCCCATGTTTACATCAGTTATAGCACTTCCCAAGCTTGGTGTCATTTTTGACCAACATGTATGTCTCCCATTAAATTTGAGTATCTGGTTAATTTGACATTTCCTGTAATATTTCTAACAGTAAGATTCAGTTGAACTGTACATGTTTTTACAAGGACTTTGATACAATGTTTTATGATGGGTGAGGAGCGATATAACAGATTGCTAAGAATCCATGTTCCTAGCTCTGCTGCTTGTCAGCTGTATGACTTTGGGTAAACTATTTAACCACATTAAATATCAGTTTTGTCATTTACAAAATGGAGATAATAATAGTACCTAAATGAGATCATGTATTTAAACTGCCTACAACATAATAGGAGCTCAAGGAAGATTCTTCTTGTGTTTGTTTGTTGTTGTTTTTTTCAGTTTCCTGTGATAGATTTCTTTTTAAATTGAAGTGCAATTGACATACAACATTATACTAGTTTTAGGTGTACAACATAATGATTCAACTTTTGTATAATTGCAAAATGACCACCACAATAAGTCTAGTTATACCATCTGTTACCATACAAAGTTACAAAAAATTTTTTCTGTGATGAGAACTTTCAAGATTTACTTTATTAGCAACTTTCAAATCTGCAATACAATATTACTGATTATAGTCACCATGCTGTATATAATATCCCCATGACTTTTTAATTTTATTTATTTTTCTCATTCTTTAAAGAAACTTTTAATTTTATATTGGAGTACAGCTGATTAACAATGTTGTATTAGTTTCAGGTGTACAACAAAGTGATTCAGTTATACATTTACATGTGTCTATTCTTTTTCAAATTCTTTTTGCATGTAGTTTGTTACAGAATATTGAGCAGAGTTCCCTGTGCTATACAGTAGGTCCTTGTTGATTATCCATTTTAAATATAGTGGTCCCAAGCTCCCTAAATATCTCTCCCTCCTACCCTTCCCCCCTGGTAACCATAAGTTCATTCTCTAAGTCTGTGAGTCTGCTTCTGATTTGTATATAAGTTGGTTTGTATCATTTTTTAGATTCTGCAGAGAAGCAGTCATATGATATTTCTCTTTCTCTATCTGACTTACTTCACTCAGTATGACAATCTGTAGGTCCATCCATGTTGCTGCAAATGGCATTATTTCATTCTTTTTAATGGCTGAGTAATATTCCATTGTATATATGTACCACATCTTCTTTATCCATTCTTTTGTCGATGGACATTTAGGTTGCTTCCATGTCTTGGCTATTGTAAACAGTGCTGCAATGAACATTGGGGTGCATGTATTCTTTCAAACCATGTTTTTCTCTGGGTATATGCCCAGGAGTGGGATTGCAGAATCATATGGTAGCTCTATTTTTAGTTTTTTAAGGAACCTCTATACTGTTCTCCATAGTGGCTGCACCAGTTTACATTCCCACCAACAGTGTAGGGGGGTTCCCTTCTCTCCACACACTCTCCAGCATTTATTGTTTGTGGATTTTTTGATGATAGCCATTCTGACTGGTGTGAGGTGATATGATCATCTCAGTATTTGCAGAAAAAGCTTTTGACAAAATTCAACACCCATTTATGATAAAAACTCTCCAGAAAGTGGGCATAGAGGGAACATACCTCAACATAATAAAGACCATATATGACAAACCTACAGCTAACATCATACTCAATGGTGAAAAGCTAAAAACATTTCCTCTAACATCAGGAACAAGACAAGGGTGTTCATTCTTGTCACTTTTATTCAACATAGTTTTGGAAGTCCTAGCTACAGCAATCAGAGAAGAAAAAGAAATAAAAGGAATCCAAATGGGAAAAGAAGTTAAACTGTCACTGTTGGCAGATGACATGATACTATACATAGAAAATCCTAAAGATGCTACCAGAAGACTACTAGAGCTCATCAACGAATTTGGTGAAGTTGCAGGTTACAAAATTAATACACAGAAATCTGTTGCATTTCTATACACTAACAACAAAACATCAGAAAGAGAAATTCAAGAAACAACTCCATTTACCATCACATCAAAAAGAATAAAATACCTAAGAATAACCATACCTAAGGAGACAAAAGACCTGTGCTCTGAAAACTATAAGACTTATTTATTTTATAACTGGAGGTTTGTACCTCTTGATCCCCTTCACCCATTTTTGCCCACCTCCCCCCATTCTGGCAACCATCAATATGTTCCCTGTATCTATGTGTTTTGTTTTGTTTGTTCATTTGTTTGTTAGATCTCACAGGTAAGTGAAATCATATGGTATTTGTCTTTCTCTATCTGCCTTATTTCACTTAATGTAATACCCTCAATGTCCATTTCATTCTTTTTTATGGCTGAGTAGTATTCCATTATTTACATATAAATATAAAATATTTATATTATATATATTATATATATATATATAAACATATATGTATAAACATCTCCTTTATCCATTCTTCCATTGATAGACCCTTAAGTTGTTTCCATATTCTGGTTATTATAAATATGCTGCAGTGAACCTAGGGGTGCCTTTATCTTTTTGTATTAGTGTTTTCATTTTCTTCAGATAAATACCCAGAAGTGGAATTGCTGGCTTATATGGTAGTTCTATTTTTAATTTTTTCTTTTTTTTTTGCGGTATGTGGGCCTCTCACTGTTGTGGCCTCTCCCATTGCAGAGCACAGGCTCTGGACACGCAGGCTCAGCAGCCATGGCTCACGGGCCTAGCCGCTCTGCAGCATGTGGGATCTTCCTGGACCAGGGCACAAACCCGTGTCCCCTGCATTGGCAGGCAGACTCTCAACCACTGCGCCACCAGGGATGCCCTGTTTTTAATTTTTTGAGGAAGCTCCATGCTGTTTTCCACAGTGGCTGTACCAATTTACATTTCCACCAACAGTGCATGCGGGTTCTCTTTTCTTCATATCCTGGCCAACACTTGCTATTTCTTATCCTTTTGATAATAGCCATTCTGCAGGTATGAGGTGATACCTCACTGGTGTTTTGATTTGAACTTCCCTAATGATTAGTGATATTGAACATTGTTTCATGTGCCTTTTAGTTATCTGTATGTCTTCTTTGGAAAAATGTCTATTCAAATTCTCTGCCTATTTTATTTTGTTTTATTTATTTTTAACATCTTTATTGGAGTATAATTGCTTTACAGTGGTGTGTTAGTGTCTGCTTTATAACAAAGTGAATCAGTTATATACATACATATGTTCCCATATCTCTTCCCTCTTGCGTCTCCCTCCCTCCCACCCTCCCTATCCCACCCCTCTAGGTGGTCACAAAGCACTGAGCTGATCTCCCTGTGCCATGCGGCTGCTTCCCACTAGCTATCTATTTTACATTTGGTAGTGTATATATGTCCATGCCACTCTCTCACTTTGTCACAGCTTATCCTTCCCCCTCCCCATATCCTCAAGTCCATTCTCTAGTAGGTCTGTGTCTTTATTCCCGTCTTACCCCTAGGTTCTTCATGACCTTTTTTTTTTCCCTTAGATTCCATATATAAGTGTTAGCATACGGTATTTGTTTTTCTCTTTCTGACTTATTTCACTCTGTATGACAGACTCTAGGTCTATCCACCTCATTACAAATAGCTCAATTTCGTTTCTTTTTATGGCTGAGTAATATTCCATTGTATATATGTCCCACATCTTCTTTATCCATTCATCTGATGATGGGCACTTAGGTTGTTTCCATCTCCGGGCTATTGTAAATAGAGCTGCAATGAACATTTTGGTACATGACTCTTTCTGAATTTTGGTTTTCTCAGGGTATATGCCCAGTAGTGGGATTGCTGGGTCGTATGGTAGTTCTATTTGTAGTTTTTTAAGGAACCTCCATACTGTTCTCCATAGTGGCTGAACCAATTCACATTCCCACCAGCAGTGCAAGAGTGTTCCCTTTTCTCCACAGCCTCTCCAGCATTTATTGTTTCTAGATTTTTTGATGATGGCCATTCTGACTGGTGTGAGGTGATATCTCATTGTAGTTTTGATTTGCATTTCTCTAATGATTAATGATGTTGAGCATTCTTTCATGTGTTTGTTGGCAGTCTGTATATCTTCTTTGGAGAAATGTCTATTTAGGTCTTCTGCCCATTTTTGGATTGGGTTGTTTGTTTTTTTGTTATTGAGCTGCATGAGCTGCTTATAAATTTTGTAGATTAATCCTTTGTCAGTTGCTTCATTTGCAAATATTTTCTCCCATTCTGAGGATTGTCTTTTGGTCTTGTTTATGGTTTCCTTTGCTGTGCAAAAGCTTTGAAGTTTCATTAGGTCCCATT